CATGCTCTTCTCCCTATACCTCCCCTTTTCTTTTTTTAACACATTATGTTGGAGATTCATCCATGTGAAATTTAATTGGCATTTTACTAAAAATTATACTACAATTTACCCATTTTATTATTGAAGGACATATTGGTTATTTTCAGTTTTTAGTTAATATAAACAGTCTCTCATCTTTTCTGATCTTTATGGGCATTCTTTAGGAGTGAATTTGCTTCTAATTTATATTGATCCATGCCTAGCAGAATGAAAATCCCACAGAATCCTTCCAACTGTTACCAACTCTAAAGCTCACTGTTGCAGCCACTGTGCCAATCCATCTCATTAAGAATATTCCTTTTTTTTTTTTTTTTTTTGCTGACTTTCCACTTCACCACCAAACATGATATATTTATTAGAGTCTTGGTGTGGCACTGTAGGATAAGCACTGGACTGCAAGGTCCATTTGAACTACAAGGTCAGCATTTGGAACTCACCAGCAGCCACTTTTCCCAAACCCTATAGAGAGTCACTATGAGTCAGAACAATGCCGTTGCACCGGTTATGACTCATAGTGTCCCTGAATAGGGTTTCCAAGGAGCAGTTGGTGGGTTGAACTGCTAACCTATGTTTAGCAGTCCAGTGCTGCTTATTCTACAGTGCCACACCAGGACTCCAATGTTTATATCTATACATGTGTGTGTGTGTGTGTGTATATATATATATATAGAGAGAGAGAGAGAGAGAGAGAGGTTTAGATCAAGGAAGTAACTCACACTGTTACAAAGACCTGTGGTCTTTAGTCTTCAGCAGTTAAGTGCTTCAACTTTTCTTGCCTTTCCACAAGCCAGGTTGTGTTATCTGCATATTGCAGGTTGTTAATGAGCCTTCCTCCAATCCTGATGCTGTGTTTTTCTTCATACATTGCTCACTGGTTGATCCAGTATGGTGAAAGACTACAAACCTGACACATACCTTTTCTGGTTTTAAATCATACAGTATCTGGTTGTTCTGTCATACAGGTGTGCAAGTTTCAAGTCTCTGATTCAGATGTCAGACTGAAAGCTTTTTCTGACTCATACAACTACAGGGGTTGATGAACCCAAGGTCAGTAGGTAAGATGACAGACTGTTGCTGACTCCAAGATTGGCAGGCAATATGGCAGGATACTGGCTTAAGTCCAAAGAGCCAAAGGTCAGATGATTCACCAGATGCAGGATCCAGACCCAGCGAAAAGCAAGCAAGCTTTGCCTGAGTGTCTAATATATAGGAAGCAGGCCACACCCTCAAGGAAACGTCATTTCAATTGACTGGCTTCTCATAGCAGATCGCATCATGGAATTGATTGCATTATATTAGAGCTCATCATGGGGATTTTTAGGTGCTGTTGAGTTGGTTCTGACTCACAATGACCTTGTATAGGGTTTCCAAGGAGCTGCTGTTGGATTTGAACCACCAGCCTTGAAGTTCAAGCCAACCTTGCATTCGAGTGCTTATCCTATAGCGCCACACTGTGACAACATATTAAATGCCAAACCACTGAGAATCTCCTGGTCCAATCAAATTGAATTAACCTTATCACAACATCCTTTTCCAGAGATTGGCTTCTTCTGATAAAATGTCCAAAGTATGGGAGATGTAGTCTCATCATTCCTGTTTCTAAGGACATTCTTGTTTCTAAAGAGTATTCTGGCTGTATGTACTTCTTAAACGACAGATTTCCTTGTTCTTCTGGCAGTCCATGGTTGTTGTTATTATTGTTACGTGCTGTCGAGTCAGTTGCGACCCTGCACAGGGTTTCCGAGGCTATAAATCTTTACGGGAGCAGAAAGCCTCATCTTTCTCCCACGGAGCGGCTGGTAGTTTTGAACAGCTGACCTTAAGGTTAACAGCCTGATTTGTAACCACTATGCTACCAGAGCTCCTGGCGGTCCATGGTATATTCTATATATTTTGCCAGCATTATAATCCAAGGCATCAATTATTTTTTGGTCTTCCTTATTCATTGTCCAGCTTTTGCATGCATATGAGGAGACTGAAAATATCATGACTTGGGTCAGATGCACCTTAGTCCTCAAAGTGACATCTTTGCTTTTGAACACTATAAAGAGGTCCTTTGCAGCATATTTGCCCAATGCAATATGCCATTTGATTTTATTATTTGATGTTTCCATGGCTGTTCATTCTGGGTTCAAGCAAAATCAAATATAAGATTTTGTATACGACAATTTAATGTTTTCTCCTTTTATCATGATGTTGCTTAATAGTCCATTTGTGAGAATTTTTGTCATCTTTATGTTAAATGTGTAATGCATACCGAAGCCTGTGGTCTTTGGTCTTCAGCAGTTAAGTGCTTCAACTTTTCTTTTCTTTCCACAAGCCAGGTTGTGTTATCTGCATATTGGAGGTTGTTAATGAGCCTACCTCCAATCCTGATGCTGGGTTTTTCTTCATACATTGCTCACTGGTTGATCCAGTATGGTGAAAGACTACAAACCTGACACATACCTTTTCTGGTTTTAAATTATACAGTATCTGGTTGTTCTGTTCTGAAAACTGCCTGTTGGTCTATGTACAGGTTTCTCATGCAGAACCTTGCTGTCATAGGATTTGTAAAATTTCAGCTTTAGTATTTTTTTGAAGATTATTTTCCCTATTTACCTGCTTTTAGAGGTCATGTTTCTGAGTTTTTATAAATGGAGGGAAATTGGCATTCAAAGAAATATTATAAAATTTCTCAAAATTGAAATACTGGTTTAGAGAAATCATAAAATAGCCTAGATATCCCAGAGGTAAAGAGAGCTTGCATTGTGCAGGCAACATAATAACATACATGAATTATCTCATGCAATGTTAACAGGTGCTCTGCTAGCATAGTGGTTATGAGTTGGGTCACTAACCTTGGGGTCAGCAGTTTGAAACTACCAGCCATTCCATGGGATGAGGCTTTCTGTTCCCATAAAGATTTACAGCCTTGGAAACTCACTATGAGTCCAAACCAGCTAGAGCGCACACCAACCACCACCAATCTTAACAGAATCTCAAAGCCTTTATTCTTATTTTACAGATGAGGAAATAAGTTCAGAGTAAGTAGTAAATAACTTCTCCAAGACAGTTAACTATGAGTAACGCATTGAAGACACAAATTCTGATCTGTTTGACCCTAAAATCCAAGCTAATGATCATTATGCTTTGTTTCATTACCTAGACAGCAAATATTTTTTATCTCAAAGTATTGATGTTGCTAGCGAAATCAGTCCTTGAAAAGTGGGATAACTTTTGTGATTCATGGCTGACTTTTTTTTTTTTAATGTTTTATTGTGCATGGCTGACTTTTAAGAGTATATGTTTATACATGCAAAATGTGATGAGCAAAATGGTCATCTGTAATGCCTTGTGACTGTTCCACAATTACTTTATTTCTCAGGTAGCTAAGCCACAACTTCCCTTGTGAGGTTTTTGCCCTAAACTGGAAAAAAGAAATGTGCTAATAATACGTTGCAAACTTCAAGTTTGGGCAAGTCCAAGCACCAACAGAAAAATAACTCTATTAACATCAGCCATCATTACTAGAAACAGTAAATACTGTAGCCAGCATTTGATTTTCCCTTTTATTATTAAAAATTATTAATTCTTACCATAGACCATTAACTTACTGTGAATCAGTCTTTATTTGAAGAGTACATACTTATACATCATTTTGAGTTATTTAGCAACTGCTAGGAGAAATATTGACTTCTAGCCCTTCAGGAGCTTAAAATTCAGTGAAAAGGACAGTCTATAGTAACCCTAAAGTGAATTGGTAATTCCGAAAGTTGGATGCCGAAATTAAGTGATCTTACTGGCAAGCTGTTGTTCTGTGCTGTGGAGTCAGTTCTGACTCACAGCGACTCTGGTAGCGTAGTGGTTATGGATTGGGCTGTGAACCTCAGGGCCAGCAGTTCGAAACTACCATCTGTTCCGCGGGAGAAAGATGAGGCTTTCTGCTCCCGTAAAGATTTACAGCCTCGGAAACCCTGTACAGGGTCACTATGAGTCGGAACCGACTCCATGGCACATAACAACAACAGCAGCTTCATCTTTCTCCTGTGAAACAGCCGGTAGTTTTGAACTGACTGTGAGATTAGCATCCCTATCCCTTAAAAGTGGTCTATTTTTTTTTTGAATCAACGGGCCACTAAATACGTCGAAATTGGCTTTGTCTTGTCGGGAAATAGATTTGAATGTCAAACATAATGTGAAAGTTGCCTCTCTGAGTCCAGGATACCCAAGGCCCAGCTGCTGAGGGTGGGTAGGTGGAAGGTTGCTCTGGACACCAACTTGACTCAGCTTGGCGAATCAGCAGGTACCGCGGCTCAACGCCGCAAATATTTTGCCTACTCAGCTCTGATACCCCGATGTCCGTTTTGGACAGAACTAGCACTTTTCGGTAAGCCACTTTCAAAAGGATTTTTTTTTATTAGAAGAAATCAGGAGACAGTGCATAAACCTCCTGGTTTGGCAGATGGTGGCTTTCGCATATCCTTCAAGACGGTTGTCTGAGTCGCGAAACCGGGGGCTGGGATTTTAGCATGAAGAGTCTTCTCCACCCAAAACGCCTTCCTACATATCTGCCCCAACACGCTGTTTCTTCGTAAGCCCATAGCCGCCCGTTTCCGGATTTCTCCCTCCCCGTGGAAAGTGAATAGACAGAAGACCTAACTTCCAGATACATCCGCGGCGGGCCCAAATGAAATCTCGCGATATGTTATTAAATCTCCTGTAGAAGGGTTAGAACCTTGTACCTCCCAATTCTTACGTCACTGTAGAGTCACAATTTAAGGCGCCCGTTTGCGTGCGCGCGCGCGTTGCGCATGCGCGTTTGTCCCTTCACACTCCCCCCAGCGTCGTCCACCCCGGCGTAGGTTTCTCTCTGGCCAGTCGCGCGTGGGCTGAAGCCCGGGCGGGTGTTGAGAAGGGGTGTTTGTTGGACGCCGGCCCCGCGGCAGTCGGGTGTTCCCTTTTTCAGGGACAGCCCTCTCAGCTAGGGTGAATGGCCCATTGGGTAGGCTAAAGGGTAGGCTGGGGAGCACGGGGGCCGGGGCCGCGGCCATGAACTCACCCGTGGACCCCGGCGCTAGGCAGGCGCTGAAGAAGAAGCCGCCCGAGAGGACCCCGGAGGTAAGCTTGGTCGACCCCAGTGGGCATTCTGCCGTTCAATGGATAACATCCCCTTGCCGGTCCGAAGTCCGTGGCGACTGTCGTGATGCCAGAACCTCGCACCTGTCGCTGGGTTATCTGTTCTACTCTCTCGGTCCTGACCCGGGCCCTTCTCGCGGGCTGGGTGACCAAGTGGTGCGCCGCCTTTCCTGCCGCGATGCAACTTTCCCCGTGCACCCGTCTTTGGCCGTGACTTCCTAATTTCTTCTATAAGAAAGCCCCATTAGTAATTGGTATTTTCTGCCGGTAAAATGTAAGTCTTGAAGTGTGATTACTCAAAGTAAGTTCAGGTAGATTGCGAAAATGAGGTAGAAATTGTAAGTTTGTAAGTACCTGAAATAAGGAATCCTACTAACCCAGGTCGGAGTCCTGGTATGGCGCTCTGGGTTAATGCGCTGGACTGCAAAGTCGTTTGAACCACAAGATCGGTGGTTCAAGCTCACCAGCCGGGTCGCTGTGAGTTGGAACCGACTCGACGGCACTTAACAACAACTAATCCAGGTCGGTTTGAACCAAAAGGCCGGCAGTTCAAACTCACCAGATGTGCCTTGGAACCCTTATACAGGGTCGGAACTGAATCGACGGCACTTAACAACAACAACAACAACAAACCTGAAGGTATGTGGTTCCAACCCACTGGCACTCTGCTGGAGAAAGATGAGGCAGCCTGTTTCCATAAAGATTTACAGCTTTGAAAACCCAATGGGGTAGTTCTACCTTGCCCTTTAGACTAGCTATGAGTCCTAATCCACTTATGGCAAAGAGTTTGGATTTTGGTTAAGGATCTGAAATATTGTCTAAAAGAAGATAACAATTTCAAAGTTAATTTAAAACTTTGCATCCAATCAGAAGGTGAATACTGTGGTAGATCATGTACATTTAAAGAGGAATCTGGAAATACTTTATCAGACTGTCAGTGGGAATTTTCAGTGTTCTGTGTTTGAGTTTAAAACTAAGTTCTGTATAGGATGAACAGTAATGGCATCGGTTTAAAAGATTGTCCTATGATCTGAAGGCTTATTTCAGGCACATAACTCAAACCTGTTAGTTTTGCATGTCCAGATTATCTTTTTTCTTGGACACTTGTTTTGATTTATAGGAGAATTTTCTGTAATAAGTGGTTGTTGTTGTTAAGTGCTGTCTAGTCGGTTCTCACCCATAGCGACTATAGGGTTTCCGAGGAGCAGCTGGTGACCTTGAACCCCTGACCTTTTGGTTCAAACCGATCTGGATTAGTTGTTGTTAAGTGCCAATTAGCCCTTTCCTACCTTGTGGTTCAACCCAACTTTACAGACCAGCTCATTAACCACAGTACCACACTAGAAGTCCATCCGTTTTGTAAACAAACAAAACACCCCAACAACAGTGCAAACGGATTGTTGGATAGTCTTGTTTATAATTGCTATAGTAGGATGACCTGGTGTGGTGCTGTGGGTTAATGCGCCTGACTGCAAAGCCATTTGAACTGCAAGGTCAGTGGTTGAAGCTCCCCAGCTGCTCCTTGGAAACCATATACAGGGTTGCTATGGGTCGGAATCAACTCGTCGGCACTTGACATTGTGCACCTTGGATCCTGGTGTGGCACTGTAGATTAATGTGCTAGACTGCTAAGTCAGTTTGAACTGCACTGTTGGCAGTTCAAGCTCACCAGCCGCTCCTCAGAAACCCTATACAGGGTTGCTATGTGTCGGAACTGACTCTACGGCACTGAACAACAACAATTCTGAACCTTAGGACATTTTCTAAACTTTTCTTGATGTTACAGTGCTACTGTTTGCTTTGTTAAGTACTTTATCTTGTTTTACTGGAACAGCAGCACTGTTCAAAAAAATGCTAACTGACTACCCATAGTACACAGACTGGGGCCCTGACCTATAGCATAATGGTTCAACTACTTGATTCATTGGTAATACTTTTATTTTTTTTTAATGTTTTATTGTAAATTATGTGATAGTTTACATGGGAGAACATTAGTTTTGCATTCATTCTATCGTATATCATCTCATTGCCATGGTTACAATCCCCTCCATGCAATCCTTCCCCCGTACCCCCCCAGGTCTTCAGCACACAGTAGCTCTCCCTCTCTGGATCTAAAGTCTCCAGCCGCTCCATTGCTCCACATCATCATCTCTGGCTCCGTTGCAGGCATCACTGCTTCTCTGGGTAGGGTCCCGCTCACTGCTCTTCTCCCTTGATGGTCCTAGGGACCTCCGCTCCTAGACTGAAAAGTTAATCACTCCCCTCCTTGCTATAAAACATCTACCTTTACATTTCCGACCCTCACAAACAGTCCTGATAACAATTATTCACTATTGTATCACAAGAGACCCGTCTGCATTTCTTTGCATCAGCCCTGCGTAGTCAGATTGAATACTACTCACTGGAGATTCTACCTTCTTCCAGGCCCTCTGGATCTAGGTTCCCTCTTGAAAGTTTGTAAGCCAGTCACTTCTTGCCTTTGTAGCCTCCCGCCCCCCATTTTGGGTAGCCAATGTCCACGTTGCCCATCCCTGTCAACTCTGTGTGTGGAGGGGGTGGGAATGATTCTTGCTGTAAGGACTTGATCCCTCTTTTGAGCTACTGCTTCCATAGGTGTAGGTCAAGTTCATCACATTGTATGAGAATACTTTTTTTTTTCCTCTTCTTTTTACTTCTGGTTGAGCTCTGATCATCCAGTCACTGAAGCCAAGATAAGTGGGTATTATCTGCAAGTGTGGGTGTTCTTATGCATATGCCCTCTCTTCTTATCAGCTGGAAGCTTCACTCTCCACTCTAGTCCTCTGTGGCTATGTCACTGACTCTGGGCCCAAGAGTTCCCAGGTCTTGCCACACTGCTGGCTAACCAGGTCTTCACCCGGGTTCACAGAAGTCTATTGAACGTTGGTAGGGCTTATCTCACTGCTTCCCCTTATTGGTGTCGAGCGTGGTCACCAATCACAGCGTGTATTCCCGTTGAGTCTTAGTCTTAGAAGGGGGTTTGCACTGAGGGGACTGACTACTTGCCTTGATGTTTCCTGGGCAAGCAAGTTGCTTGTTCTTGTAGTAACAGTCAGTCTGCCTATGTTGTTTTATCATTGGTAATACTTTTGAATTATTGTATAATTTAGGTTTAAAGTATGATAAGGAAATACTAACTTGATGATTTATTTGTGATGAATGTTGTTGTTAGGTGCCATCAAGTTGTTTCTGACTCATAGTGACCCCTTGTACAACAGAACGAAACAACACTGTCTAGTCATTTGCCATCCTCATGACTGATAAGTTTGAGTCCATTGTTGCTCCCACAGTGTGAGTCCATCTCATTTGGTTCTTTTTCCTCTTCATTGAGCCACCACTTTACCAAGCATGGTGTCCTGCTCCAGTGACTGTTTCCTTTTGACAATATGTCCAAAATGCCAGATGAATAGTTTGATAAAATTCTCACAAGTTCCTATCAGTTTTCAGAAGTCCTTATTGTCTTACTAGATGCTTTGTTGTTGTTGGTGCCTCTGAGTCGATGCTAACTTATATGTGATCTTAAGCATAACAGATTGAAACACTGCCAGGTTCTATGCCATCCTCACAATCATTGTTAAGCTTGAGCCCATTGCTGTTGCCACTGTGCCATTTCATCTCGTTGGGGGGGTCTTTCTCTTTTTTTCGCTGACCCTCCATTTTACCTAGCATGATGCTCTTCTCCAGGGATTGATTGGGTCCTCTGCTAATGTGTCTGAAGTATGAGAGACAAAGTTGGCTGTTCTTTTTCCAACACAGTTTGTTCTTTTGGCAGTTCATGGTGCTTTTAAAATTCTTCTCCAGCACCATAACTCAGTTCTTCTATGGTCTTTCATATTCACAGTCCAACTTTCAGCATATGAAGCTATTGAAAATACCATGTCTTGGGTCAGGTACACCTCAGTCCTCAAAGTTTTTTTTTTTTTTCACATATATATTTAGCCATTATTTGCTGAGCACCTACCAGTGTAAGACACTGTTCTGTATACTACTACGATGATGTAACACTCAATCTGTTCTCTGAACTTTTTTTTATAGCCTCCTTCTGAGTGAAGGTAGCAAAGTTAACTTACTGGTTTATTTGCTATTTTCTAGATAAATTCTGCACATAGTCTAGCCCCTCACTTTTGAAGTTTCACAGTTATATTTCCACAGTGGAAACTTCTAATTTGATATCTTTTATACATGCATTATGTGTTTGTATATATGTATATATGGTGGTGGTTATGTGCCGTAGAATCTGTTCTGACCCATAATGACCCTGTATAGGGTTTCTGAGAGATAGTCTTCAAATTACGGAAATATTTTAACGGTTTGGTAAACAGGTTTGCTAATGTATTACATGTGGGCTTTGAGGGAAATAGAAGAGTCTAGCATGATTTCAGGGTTTTGAGCCTGAATAACTGAAATGTTAGAGTTATTATCAAAGATAGAGCTGCAAAAGGAAGGAGGTGTAGGCTGGTGGGGGAAGATCAGAAATTGAAACTTTGAATATGTCAAATTTTAAATGCATTTGGAAATTTTGAGTAAGCAGTGGTTATACAAATTTATATTTCTAAAGAGGGAACTAGACTGGAGATAGAATAAATAATCTTTAAAGTCATGAGATTGAATGAAATTACCTCAGTGAGTATAGCTAGAAATAAAGAAAAAACAACCCCCCTGCTGTCTAGTCAATTCCAACTCATAACGAACCTAAAGGACAGAGCAGAACCACCCCATAGGATTTCCAAGGTAGGATCAGCACTGGATGGAGAAACACTGGGTCAACAGTTCAAACCTATCAGCTGCTCCTCAGAAACCCTGTACAGGTTCACTGTGAGTTGGAACCAACTCGATAACACTTAACAATAGTAACAATCTATGGAAGCAGACTGCCACATCTTCTCCTATGGAGTAGTTGTGTTTGAATCGCTTACCTTTTGATTAGCAGCCTTATGCTTTAACCACTCAACCAGGAGACAGGA